CAGATGAATGGATAAACAAAGCATGGTATAGCTATAGCCATACAATGCAGTATTCTTTAGCCATCAAAAGGCTCCTAGAAAACACTATTTCAGTCCTACATGCTATATAGCAAGAAAATAATGTCCCTTTTCAATAAGTCTCTTCACTGGTTTTCAGGTGTTCATTCGTTTATACATTCAGTTCTCAGTGGCAGACTTAACCTCGTCCCTTTGCCCTGCTGTGGAATCACCTGACTAAACTTTAACCCCTGCTGACTCTGACTCCCTCACAACTACACACGCAGCCAATGCCACAGGGTAGCCAGGCGCTGCCATAAATACACTGTCACCAAGCTCCACCTTGCCTTGCAATCCTTCTCTCTCTAGTTAGTTCACAACCCACTGAGTTAACAACCACCTTTTGAAAAATGCTTCAAAGAGAAACAACACATGTGCAGCAGGAGGTTTAATCAGGGATATTCAGGACAGCACTGTCCTTACCAACAACAAAAAATTTCAAGAGACCCAGTAGAACACATAAACTGTATGTTGATATAATTGAATAACACAACAGTGAAGATGAACTGTATCTGCATGTTTGACATTAGTAATCTCAAAAGCATAATTCTGAAAATATAAGTGCGAAGAATCTATTACAGTGATTCCATTTAGATGCACTGTAAAGATGGAGTGAGACACTGGATTTAACCTCTCACCTTAAACAACTAGACAACCATACAAAATATATGAAGCAGTGGACTTCAGCAATGGGCAATGGCAACACAGGACTACGGTCCTGTGGAAGGAAAACCGAAGTAGAGCATGTAAGTCTGAGCAGACAGAGACTGAAGTTTGAGAGGGCCAGGGTGGCTAGAATCTGTGAGGCAGAATACTTGAAGAGATAGAGTTTTGCAAAGTGTACTCAATGGCGTCCCTTTGAGTCTTCCACTGAGTACTGACAAAGCATGAGAATTATATCAACACTAGATAAAAAGATTACTGGAAAGAAGTAGGCAGAACTATTTTCCTGGAGCTCACTCAGGGCTGGAAAAAGTGTGTTTCCACTAGCCAAAATGTAAAGAAGTAATTTTACCTTAGTAGTGAGGCTAAATTAGCTCTAGGGAAAAAAGGAAGTTTTGGGACTGTCCTAAAGGAAAAAAAGAGAAAAGTTTAAAAGTAAGCTGCATACAAATAAAAAGTTCCTAAGGAAAACAAAAGTAAGACTCAGAGGGATCCAACAAATTCTAAGAAGTAAAATGCATGCCAGGAGTAAAAGACAACACTATTTAAAGGAATATAACAAAACCCAACAACTAACAATGTAAATTCACAATTGTCTAGCATTCAGTAAAAAAATTATCAACCATTTAAAAGAAGCAGGAAAATAAGTAAAATTACCAGGATAAAAATCAATCAACACAGACCCCAAAATGACAAACGTGATGGAGCTAGCATCTGAAGACATTGAAACAGCTCTTATAACTATGTTTCATATGTTCAAGAATATAGAGGAAAGCACAGTCATGATAAGGACAGAAATGGAAGATATTTTTTTAAAAGATCCAGAGGGAGTTGCTCGAGATGGAAAAATACAGTATCTGAAATGAAAAACACACTCTTTTGGAACTGATTAAACACTGAGGAAGATCAGTTAACTTGAAGATATCTAAAATGAAGCAGAAAAAGAAAAAAGAATGAAAAACTGGGCAGAGCATCAGTAACATGTGGCAAAATATCAAGCAGTCTATTATATGAGTAGTTGTGTGTCAGGAGAAAGGGAGGGACTAAAAAGGGCCAAAACAAAGGTCAAAGTTTTAACAAATTTTATTAAGACTATAAGCCTTTAGATTGAGGAAGCTCAATGAACCCCAAACAGAACAAACAAAGTTCAAAACCACATTAACTCAATCACTATATTAACAATAGATATACATATGGTAAAAACAACAACAAAAGCAAACGCAAAATTAACCAAAATTCAGGATAGTGGTTTTCTCTATGGCAAAGGACGGGGGAATGTTATTAGAGAGGGGAGCTCAGTCTTCAAATGTTATCAGTATATACTTTTTCTTGAGTGATATAAAGGGCAGATACATTTGTAATATTTATTTATTTATTTATTTTTAGAGAGAGGGGAATGGAGGGAGAGAGAAACATCAGTGTGTTGTGGCCTCTCACGTGCCCCTCACTGGGGACCTGGCCCGCAACCCAGGCATGTGCCCTGACTGGGAATCGAACTGGCAACCCTTTGGTTTGCAGGCCTGAACTCAATCCACTGAACCACACCAGCCAGGGCCATTTTTATTATTGTTATTCTTTAAATTGCATACATACAAAATACTTTTGCGTGCATAACAGATAGTAAAAAATAGAAAATAAATTAATGAAGTTTGTCCATTCTTCTGTGCTACCTATAAAACAAGCCAAAAACCTGGGAGTCCCCTTTGACCACTACCTCAACCAAATCCAACTAATTACTGCTCTTAAATCTTTCTAACCTTCCACTCCCACACCCTGATCCAAGCCTCCTTCAACTCTCACCGGGAGCACTGGCACCCCTTCCTCTCCCTGAAGGCAGTCAAAGAGACCATTTTTAAAATGTGATTAATTGTACCTTTTTAGTTTGAATCCAATCTTGCCCACTGGTTATGTGAAGCAACAGAGTAAACTACCCAAGACCACAAAGCCAGGAAATGGCAGAGACAGGATTCAAAATCTACTACTCTTACTGAGAACCACAATGCCTTTCCCATCCACCATCCTGCCTGGTATTACTGGGAAAGACTTAGCCTGAACCTGGCACAGGATAATTATTTGTTAAAAAATAGATTGATTTCTTCTTCTCCAGTCACTCCCTCACCATGGAAGTGACCTAGTGCCCAGGTGAGAATGAGAAATCTTTGGCACTCAAAACCTGGGTCCTTGGGGCGAGTAATTGGGCCACACGTGTACCCTCTGTCTCTACTTAAAAAAAAAAAATCACATCCCCTCTTCTCATTTGGAATTTGGGTGGAAGACACCTGGAGGACAGGTGAAGACACCTGGAAGACACCAGGTACACTGAGGCCACTAGGGGAACAGGCCAAGGTGGCCGTGCAGAACAGAGGTGAGGGGCAGGCGTGGCCAAGGCTGTGGGACTTCCCCAGCTGCCCAGAATAAGTTCAAGCCCACAGAGGTTCAGCTCTTCACCTCGGCAGCACTTTCAGCATTTTTGTCCATGATCTTCCTGCCCTGCAGCAGGCACCATCATGTGCCAAGTTCTCACATCCAACACCAAGCACGACCAAGGGCAAATGTGCGGGAAATGGGAGGCCTGGCTCAGGCACCTCCTTGAGAAGTCTTTCTTCCCTGACACGCTCCTCCGTTGTTTCCATGCCATCCACCATGAGTCCCCACAGCTGTGACACTCTGAATCATGGGATCAAACGTACTTGCCAAACCAATGAGAGCTTGTGGGCTGACTTTCCTGGAATTCTTTCCTCTTCTTTCACCTGCTCAGTTTATTTCAATATTTCAGGGGTTACTAAATGTTACACTTGCTTGCTGAGCTCAAGGGTCACCTCCTCCAAAAAGCCTCTCCGACCTGCCCCTCTAGGTGCACCTCTCAGCCCCTGGACCGAATGGCCTGAGATATGGCACCACAGGGACCAGCCCTAATTCACCGTACTACGGCCATCACCTGGCAGTGCTTGCTTGGCATCAGACCAGGCAGAGGCAACACCTGTGGAAGGCACCCTATCTCAGCTAGAGATCTACCTCCAGAGGAGACAGGTCCTGGTTGGGACCCCAGCTCGGCCCCTTGAGAGCTTGGGCGAGTTCCTTTCTGTTAGTTTGTGGGTCTGGCTGAGAAGCCCAGAAGAGAAGTTTTGAACTACCTGGCTGAACTGCCAAGAGAGCCCTCATTCCTAGGGTGGGGGCCAGGCAGGACCCTTTGATACATCATATGTGGTCATCCAGGGACCTGAGCTCTGTTAGCAGGAGGGGAAGTTTCAGTGGCGCTCGTCCTCCTCTGCCCCAGTCTAATCTCCACCCCCAAGTCACCTAGAAAACAGAGCCTAAAACAAGGACTGTGTACCAATGTTTTATTTGGGTGTTGCAAACCCAAGGCACTGAGAGTGAGAAAGGAAAGCAAGGCAGGGGAGAATGGGAGGTAATACAAGGTGACAGCAGGCGGGTGACAAGGTGACCTGCCTCACAAGCCTTGAAGCAGCACAGCAGTTGTTCACTGGCTACCTGGGAGATCTCCCACTGGCTGGGCTGTTTGGAGAAACGATGCCTTGCAGCAATCAAGGGAGGGAGGGAACAGGAGGGAATTTATTCCCCTGGGCCTCCCCCATCTCCCATTTCCCCAGGAGCATTAACTCCCCCACACTTCTGAGTTGCTAGTGGCTACTTGAGGAGCCAGATCTTACGCCCTGCAGTGGGGCATTCCACCCCGGTCTGGGAGTGGCGGGAGGAGACAGACACTCTGGGCAGGCGGCTGGTGAGTGTTGGGCAGAATCTGATTCAGTACGTAAGATGTGTCCCAAACAGTCCAGTACTGTTTTCCTAATTTACCAGAAGAGGAAACAAGGTAAAATGATCAAAGACCTTTCCAAGGTCACATGGCTAGATAGTGGTAAATTCAGGACTTGAAGATAGCCTGGCTCTGGGAACTGGAAGACCAAGATAAGGAACTTGGATTTTATGTAGCAGGCAAGGGAGAGTCACTAAAGAGTTTCAAGCTGGGGAGTGACGTAAAATAAAAAGAGCTTTTTAATAAAGCTCCCAATCTCTACTTTGCTCCATCTTTCCACTTGGCTAAGCTCCACCAAAGAAGGTGGCTGCAGAGAGGTAGGGGCATTTAAGATAGTTTTTGAAGAGTCCCTAACAAGGTTCAGAGCTCATACAGGCTTCATTCAAGACTGCCTCGTAACCTTTCTTGGTCTGCACCTAAGCCTATACCTACCAAAGAGACTAGCTGGCCAGAGGCAGACAGGATCTGGGTGGAGAAGCCAGAGTGAGGGGAAGAGGAGATTGACCTAAACACCAGAAGCAGGAGGACCAGCCATCTGTCCCTCGTTGGCCTGTGGACTGGGGGATCCTGGCATCCGCAGATGAATCCGTTGGTGTTGCCTGAGATGGTCAGATCTCATGAACTGTCGGCCACACTGAGCACACGTATGCGGTCTGTATTTGGTGTGTATCCGCATATGTCGTCCAAGCTCATCGGAACGGAAGAAAGACCATGCACAGCCTTCCCACATACATTTATAGGGCCTCTCACCTGGGAAGAGAAAGCAACAAGGGAGAGGAGTTAAGTTGAGAAATTTAGGTGGGAAGGCAGGGGTCTGACTCTATGAGGCAGAGCAGCCAAGGTTGGGGGACCAACAGGAAAAACATAGAAAAGCAGGAGGCAACACAAACAGCAGCCCCATCATCTTGGTACAGCCATTCGGGACTGCAGCAAAGCAAATTGGTGAAGACAGCATAGCTTGGTCCCCAAAATGAAGGATGACAGGCTAAGTCACCAACCATTACAAATCAGTGGTCCCGCACAAAACTAAATTCCAGAGACTCCTCCACCCCACCCCACCTGCCTGGTACCGTGCTCACCTGTGTGCTTGCGTTGGTGACTCACGAGGTGGGAGCGCTTAGTGTAAGCTTTTCCACAGTCCTCATACTGGCAGCAGTAAGGCCTTGCAACTGCGGGTCTCCTCCTGGGAGCCCCGTCCTGGGCCCTGCAATTCTGCTCTGCTCTTTGTGGAGCAGGTATGGGCTGCTCAGGCAGGAAAGGGTCTTCCTGAGTAGCTGGCCGGCTAACAAAAGAGTCCTGGGACTCGAAAGCCAGCAGTGATGGGGACTCAGCTGGGGGCATGTGACAATTTGGGGGCCCCCTAGAGGGCAACATCTGAGCCAAAGAGGGGAGCACTGCCTGGTCCTCAGCAGAAGGCATGGTTGGGGCCAATAACATTTTAGGTGTCGAAGAGTCTCTGTTAGGTGGTGTTGGGTGGCATGAATAGGGCACTGTTGGAACACCAATGTGGGACATCAGTGGGATTCCACTGGGACCCATGTCTGCCAGCCCATTGGAGGGCACCCTTAGATTCTCACTGAAGGTCATGGCCATCCCTGTAAGACTGGGCTCTCCTATGGACATCACCTGGGGCCCCTCAAAAATCGTCATTCCTGGTTCAGAGGGAGACAGTCCCTGACAAGAAATCAGTTGGGAGGGCGGGAGAGTCACTTGGGGGCAGTAGTTCACATCATGCTCAGGCAGCCACGCACTGAACGGTGGGCCCATTTCATTCTCATTCTGCTTGGGAGCCTCAGCAGAAACCAAGGGGATCCTCTCCGGCTGTGGACACTGAAGAATGTGTTGAAGGCCTGATGGACCGTGGTCCCAAGAAGTGTGCCCTCCACTGCTTCTGGGAGATGGAGACATGTCCAAGACGCTCATCGACCCCTCAGTCTCCTTGGGGGAGGAAGGGAGAGAGAGAGAGAGAGAGAGAGAGAGAGAGAGATGAAATTCATGGTAGCTCCAATTCCAGCTCCACATGTCCTTCCTCGCCATCTCCAGGCCCCACAGGAACCCAGGCCTCTGTCACCTCTTGCCTGAATTATCTTACCTGCAGGCCATTCTCCAGCTGGGGCTCTTCTAAGATACAGGTCTTGCTGATAGGACAGTGGGAGCCTAGGTGTCACCCATGCCACTTTTCCTCTTTAACATTTTTAAAAATTGACTGATTAATTTTAGAGAGATAGAAACATCAATTTGTTGTTCCACTTAGTTATGCATTCACTGGTTGATTCTTGCATGTGCCCTTACTGGAGATCCAACCAGCAACCTTGGCGAATCGGGATGACAATCTAGGCAACTGACACACGGGGCTGGGGCTGGGGCATATTTCTGTTCATTATTCCATAAAAGGCAACAAAAAGGGCAAATAAGAATGGAGGAAAGAAAGAAAGAAAGAAAAAAAGAAAGAAAGAAAGGAAGGAAGGAGGGAGGGAGGGAGGGGGGAGGAAAGAAAGAAGGAAAGAAGGAAGGAAGGAAGGAAGGAAGGAAAGAAAGAAAGAAAAAAAGAAAGAAGGAAAGGAAGGAGGGAGGGAGGAAAGAAAGAAGGAAAGAAGAAAGGAAGGAAGGAAGGAAGGAAAGAAAAAAAGAAAGAAAGAAAGGAAGGAAGGAAGGAGGGAGGGAGGGGGGAGGAAAGAAAGAAGGAAAGAAGGAAGGAAGGAAGGAAGGAAGGAAAGAAAGAAAGAAAAAAAGAAAGAAGGAAAGGAAGGAGGGAGGGAGGAAAGAAAGAAGGAAAGAAGAAAGAAGGAAAGAAGGAAGGAAGGAAGGAAGGAAGGAAAGAAAGAAAGAAAGAAAGAAAGAAAGAAAGAAAGAAAGAAAGAAAGAAAGAAAGGAAGGAAGGAAGGAAGGAAGGAAGGAGAGAGGGAGGGAGGGAGGGAGGGGGGAGGGAGGAAAGAAAGAAGGAAAGAAGGAAAGAAAGAAAGAAAGAAAGAGAGAGAGAATGGAGGCTTCAGATGGGTCCTGGTTTTAGCAAAAACTTAGAAACCATCTGCAAATATTTACCTACAGAAGAGGGTCTCACCAGAACAGGAACTGCCCTGGCAGGTCTGAGATCAAGCATGGGAGGAGGTAAGAAAAAGAGGCAGACTTTTAAAAGTACTTTTAAACAGGATCGGGAAAAAAAATAAACCCCAAAAGAATCTTAAAAAAAAAAATAAATGAAAGGTAGGGGATTGTCCTGGAAGTTAGGGCAGTAGCCCTTGAAGACAGACTAGTATAAGAAGAAAGAAAAAAGGGATTGGTGGCAGAACCTCTCGAAACAGGATAGGATCCAAAAATCCTATTTTTTACATTGACCATTGCTATAGCAATAGAGAGAGCTCTTGAGCTGGGAAACTGGGAAAGCTACCCCATCACCAGCCATCCGCTCTTCCTCCATAGGGACAGTGCAGAAAAGACCTAGCAAATGTGAAAACCAAAACATAAGTTTAAAAATACAGTATCCAACAAATAAATACACATAGGAAAATATCAAATCAGAAATTAAAGATTGTATTTTCTCAAAAGAAAAATAAAATTTACTAGAAAAATCCTGCCACAGGTCAAAGAAAACTTAGTAACATTCAAATACAACTTTTTAAAAAAAGAGGGAAAAAAGCAGAACTTAAGAAAACAGTTGCAGCTTTGACACCAATTACAGATCACAAAGCAGAGCGGGAGAGCGACGATGGAGGAAAGAAGGGGAAGGGACTAGTCAGATAGGTATGCGTGACCCGTGGGCAACGGGCGGGGACTGACTCTGGGGGGCTGGGCGGGGAGGCTGGGTAGAGGAGGGAAAAAGGAGAAAAACTGGGACAACTAACAGAACAACATAAAAACTTCTTTTAAAGAAGCACAGAGCAGAAATAGGTAATTCACTAAGCTGCATGCTTTAAATGTTTATACTACTAAACATTTGAAGGAAAACACCAATGTTTTTTCAAATTCTTCCCAAAAATTGAATGTTAGGGAATAGTTCCTCACTCATTCTATGAATGTAGAATTGTCCTGATACGGAGCCTGACCAATCACAAGTAAAAAAAACAATAACTGAGTCTTTTATGAATATAGATGTAAACATCCTCAACAACAACAACAACAAAAACTGCAAGCAAAATCCATCAGCACATTAGCGGATTATACAGCATGACCAAGTGGAACTCATTCCAGAAATGCAAGGGTGATTCAACATATGAAAATCAATCAATGTAACGTACTATATACATAAAATAAAGGGGAAAAAACACATCATCTCAACTGATGCAGAAAAAGCACTTGAAAAAAATTCAATATCTTTTCTTTTTTTCCTTCTTTTTTTAAAATTTTATTTTAATCATTGTTCAAGTACAGTTTTCTCCCTTTTACTCCCAATCCAGCCCACCCTCCCAACCCTCCCCACTTCCCTCCCATTACCACCCCCCCCCCAATTTTTGTCCATGTGTCCTTTGTATTTGTTCCTGTAAACCCTTCCCGTTCTCCCCTGAAATTCCCTCCCCTCTCCCCTCTGGTCTCTGTCAACCTGTTCTCTATTTCAGTGTCTTTGGCTATATTTTGCTTGTTTCTTTGTTTTGTTGTTTAGGTTCCTGTTAAAGGTGAGATCATATGGTATTTGTCTTTCACTGCCTGGCTTGTTTTGCTTAGCAAAATTCAATATCTTTTCATGATTAAAAAATACTCAAAGGTTAGAAAAAGAAACATCCAACATAATAAAAGGCATTCACAAAAATCCACTGCTAACATTATACTCAAGTAGGAAACTGAAGGCCTTTCTCTGAGATCGGGAACAAGATGCCCAGTTTCCCTTCTACTCAACGTTATATTGGCAGTTCTAGCCAGGGCAATTAAGCAAGAAGAGAAATAAAAGGCACCCAAACTGAAAAAAGAACTAAAACTTTCCCTGTTCTCCGATAACACAATCTTATGTATGGAAAATCTGAAAGACTACATGCACACTGACACAAACCTGTTAGGGCTAATAAATGAAAGCAGCAAAGTAGCTGGATACAAAAGCAACACACACACACATAAAATCAGTTGTTGCTATACGCTGACAATGAACACTCTGAAAGGAAAATTAGGAAAACAATTCAATTTATGATAGCATCAAAAAGAATTAAATACTTATAAATAACTGAGGAGGTTAACTTAATCCCTGAAAACTACAAAACATTACTGAAAGAAATTAAAGACTTAAATAAATGAAAAGACACATTCATGGATTGGAGGACTTAAGTTATGATGTCAATGTTACCCAAAGCAATCTATAGATTTAATATAATCCCTATCAAAATCCTTTTGGCAAAAATAGAGATATCCACCCTAAAATTCATTAAAAGTCACAAGGGACCCCAAATAGTCTCCCTCCCTCTCTCACCTTGAAAAACTTACTACAAAGCTATAATAATCAAAACAGTATGGTATTAGAAGAACAGACCTATAGCCCTGACTGGTGTGGCACAGTTGGTTGGAGTGTTGTCCTAATAAACTGAAAGGCTGTGGGTTCAATTCCCAGTGAGGACACATACCTAGGTTGTGGGTTCAGTCCCCAGTTGGGGCATTTGCAAGAAGCAAACTGATCCATGTTTCTCTCTCAAATTGATGTTTCTCTCCTCACCCTCCCTTCTCCCCTCTCTAAAATTAATAAGCATGTCCTTGGGTGAGGATTTAAAAAACAAAACAAAATATAGACCTATAGACCAACAGAAATAGAGCCCAGGAATGATCCCTAACATATATGGTCAAATGATTTTTAACAAGCTTGCCAAGACCTCTCAGTGGAAGAAAAGACAGTCTTTTCTATAAAACTGGATATCCACGCAAAAGAATCAAGTTGGAACCTTACTTAACACCACATAAAAATTAACTCAAAATGGATCAAGACCTAAACATAAGACCTAAAGCTATGAAACTCTTAGAAGAAAATGGGGGAAGTTTCATGACATTTGATTTGGCAGTGATTTCTTGGATATGAAATGAAAGGTGTAGGTAACAGAAGATTAAATAGATAAAATTGGACTTCATCAAAATTAAAATTTTTGTGCATCGAAGGACACTATCAACAATACAAGCAAACAACAGAATGGGAGATAATAAATATCTGCAAATTGCATATCTGGTAAAGACTAATATCCAGAATATATATTTTAAAAACTTCTAAAACAACAGAAAAACAAACAACCCAATTAAAAAATGGACACACAACTTGACATTTCTCCAAAAACAAACAAATGACCAATAAACACATGAAAAAATGTTCATCGCTAACCATTAGGGAAATGCAGATCAAAACCACAATGAGATACTACTTCACACCCATTAAAATGACTACTATTAAAAAAAAAAAAGCATCAGCCCTGACTGGTGTGGCTCAGTGGGCTGGTCCTACCACAAACCAAAAGGTGGCAGGTTCAATTCCCCATCAGGACACATGCCTGGGTTGCAGCCTAGGGCACCAGCTGGGAACGTGCAAGAGGCAACCAATCAGTGTTTCTCTTGCACATTGATGTTTCTCTCCCTCCCTTTCTCCTCTCTCTAAAAATAAATACAATCTTTTTTTTCTTAAAAAAAAGAAGGGTTAGCAAGATATGAAGAAACTGGAACCCTTGTGCACTGCTATTGGGAATGTAAATGTTGCAGCCACTGTGGAAAACCCCATGGCAGCTCCTCAACAAGTTAAAAACAGAATTACGGTGTGACCCAGCAAGTCCTCTTCTCGGTATAGATCTATAATTGAACGCAGGGACCTGCAATAGAGATTTGTACCCTCCTATTCAGAGCAGCATTTTTTACAATAGTCAAAATGTGGAAGCGACCCAAGTGTGCATCGAATGACGAACGGGTAAAAACGGTGGTCTGACCATAGGACCGACCGAAGAGTGTTCTGCCTTAAAATGGAAGAAAATTCTGACACCCGCCTCAACCCGAGTGAACCGTGAAGACCTCGTGCTAAGTAGAATACACCAGTCACAAAAGCACAAGTAATGTATGATTTCATTTCTACGAGGTACTTGAGGAAGTCGAATCCAAAGAGACAGAAAGTAGAATGGTGGTTGCGGGGGGCGGGGGGGGGGGGCCCTGGGGGTTGCAGGGGGGTTGGCAAGTCACTATTGAGAGGTTAGGGAGCTTCAGTTTGGGAAGATGAAAACAGTTCGGCGACGACGGCTGCCCGACGGCTGCACACTAGATAGTGCTGCAGAACTAGATACACTCAGACGTGGTTATGATGGTATTTTTATACTACGTTGATTTTAGCATTTTTTTCTCTTAAAAAATATGGAACACTTCACAAGTTCACGTGTCATCCTTGCGCAGGGGCCAGGCCAGTCTTCTCCGTATCGTTCCAATTTTGGTACATGTGCTGCTGAAATGCACAGATTCTACAATTTTTAAATGTTTTTAAAAAGGACACAGAAGGGATCCCCACTGGCCAAGTTTGTGAAAATTTGAGAGTCAAAAAGAATAATGAACGTCGATTTTAACAGACTGAATCAATGAAAATTCATGAGGCAAGTGTGACAAGGAGTCAGCCCTTATCCCAGCTTCAGACATTGTGAGCTGAAGTAAAAGCATCAAGCAGTCTGTCTTTTTGGTAGGAAACTGTTATTTCAAAATCACCAAAGTATTCCAGTCATCTAAGAAAAATCCTACTTTACAGAAGAAGACAACTTAATAAATGTAGAAGAAATGGTGAAATTGGAAAATCATGATTTTATAGCCCTTAATGAAACTTTTGATTGAGAAAAAATCAGTATTTGGTTGAAACCAGTGTGTGAACACTTGGATGCATCCAAGGGAACAGTCCGCAGGTTGTTTGGCTGACTGCAAGGCCCAAGACAAGTTCCAACAGAGAGACCAATCCGCCTTTTCGCTGCCTTAATTCCAGGGCCAAGCCAAATATGGACCACCAGAGGAGCCTCCTCTTGTAATTCGAGATGAAGCTTACTGTACCTATGAGACATTCTTACCAAAAATCAAGAATCCAATGAAACTTTAAGATCTAAGTCTAATTTAGAGGAAATACGAAAGATCAAGCTAAATGATACCACGAGTGACTAATCTGATAAATCCAGAAGAAGGAACAGTCTATGGGACAAAAATTCAGGACCATGAAAAAAGGGAAGTTAGTCAGGAAAAGATCTCAAAAAGACCCAAAGGGCGTAATAACCACATGCAGTGTGGTCTTAAATTGGATCCTGGTTTGGACATATCAGCTACAGGACATTTTAGGGGAATTTGCATGACTTACACTAAAATGATATCAAAAGATTACTTATTCCCTGGCTGGTGTGGCTCCGTGGACTGAGTGCTGACCTGTGAACCCAAAGGTTGCCAGTTCAATTCTGGTCAGGGTGCAGGCCTGAGTTGCAGGCTGGGTCCCCAGTTGGGGGCATGCAAGAAGCAACTTATAAATGTTCTCTCACACATCGATGTTTCCCTCCCTCTCTTTCTCCTTTCCTTCCCCTCTCTAAAAGTAAATAAAATTTTTTAAAAGATTATCTATCATTAATCTTGATAGGTTTGCTAATGTTTTGACTATGGAGAACGGAAAAAATTTTTAAGCCCCTCTCCATATGCTGGGAAGATCTTGTCTCACTGACCACTACATGCTCAGCAAGTAGCCTGAGTAGACACATAATAAGCCCCAGATAAATGTCTACTGGATGGGTGTTTCTGGTGTGCCATCCCCTTTGCTCTTTCTGATCCTTCACAGGCAAACTTCATGGGAAATGTCTAAACTCACTTTTACCGCTACTTCAGTGCTATTTCCCCAAATTCACTCCCGTCCCCACTGCTCCCCCGAACCAGCCTGTATAAAGGTCACCGTTGGCCTCCATATCACTACGTCCAAAACCTTGCCAGACTCCTCTGTGCGTGGCCTCAGGAGCTTCTGTGACTCCCGGCCATTCTTCCTGAAATGTTTCCTTCCCTTGGCCTTAGGAACACAACACAGGGGCGGACACCTACGCATACATACCTGGTTTTCTCCTTCCTTCTCTCAGGCCCTCCTCCTTCTCAGTCTCCACCACAGGTTTCCCTGTGCTATTCTCAGGCAATCTTTCTCTTGCTAATGATCTATTTCTGTTTATATCCAATTATTCTTAAAACAATAGCTCCAGGGCAGACCTATCCTGAATCTTCCAGCTGCCTGACGCTCTGTCCATTTGGATAACCCACAGGCATTTTGGACTAAGTCCAAAACTCCTGATCATCCTTACCCACCCCCAAGTCACTCTCAGAGGAAAAAAAAAAAAAGTAATCCTGTTTCTTCTCTCATCCTTTGCTCTCTCAGAAAATGTCACCACTATTCTCACCTATTTGTGCAAACCAGAAACCTGTTAAGTGTCCCAGATGCCTCTTTCACCACCTAGATCCAGGAAACGACCAGTTCTGGCGGCGTCCACCTCTAAAAACATCTCCAGGATCACATTCTCCACTGTCTCCTTTCTAGTTAGGCCGCCATTTTGACTTCCACTTGAATTATCACAATAGCTTTCTAACTATTGCCTTGAATTCTGCCCACAATTGCCAGGGCACTCTTTAAAAAAAAATGAAAATCTAGATTGAAAAAGAAAAAAACAAAGCTAATTGTGACAGATCAAGGTTAAATTCATCAAGGGCTTCCTATTGCTCTTGCAGTAACTTACACCCCTGCCTCCCCTCCCCCCAGGCCTCTCTCCCCTCACTCTCTGGGCCAGGTCTCACTTCCTCCAAGGCCCCTGCCTTGGAGGCGCACTGACTCTGGTCTCGGGACCTGCAGACCCTCCACCTAACCGGTTCTCCAGTCCCAGACCAAATCCACACCTGTCTTCTCAGTGTCTTAAACCAGATCGAACGCCTCTGCTACTTGCCCCCGTGGTCTCCCTACTTCTCCATCACGATTCCTACACTTCCAGTCACCCAGTGATTTATTAGTAACACGGTATAATGTCGTATGGAAAACTCACCATGTATTCCCAGGGTCTGCAAAGGCCTGACACTTCGTAGGGCTCCAATAAATACTTAATTTTTCCGTGCACGTGCCCCACTGCCCTCCTAACTTTGCCTTCTTTCCTCGGTACTCAAGTCCCTGTCCTTGAAGCTACTTGGAACCAGCACAGGCGCCAGTGAATATTAATGGGATAAAAGACACATGACCTTTTTTTTGGTAGATGTATAGGGTAATGTCCAGTTGCAGAAACACTGAAGTTTTTTCAATTACAGTTTACATTCAATATAACACACATGATTTGTGTCCTGGATCTCCCATCCCCCACAACCCCGTCCCTCGATCTCCTAAAGCCTGAAATCTGCTCTCCTCCACTCCTCCAGCCTCGGTTCCTCCAGCCCCGCGCCATGCCCTGGGGCTGACGCCTGACCCACCTCTGGGAACTGGTGCTGAGCTGCCTGCCACTGGCTCAGAATCTCGTCCTCTTGGTCCATCTCAGCCTGGGGTCCGCTGCACTAGCACCTGGGTGCGGGCCCAAACCACCTCAGAGCAGAGCTGAGCCCAGCTGCCGCGGCGTCGCAGATCAGGTGTCTAGTACTTCCACGACACAATCACAGCGTTCCACCTCTACTTCCCACCGCGCTGGGGGGCGGGGCCAAGGGCCGCACCCACCGACTCACCCAGCAGCCGCAGCTCCACCCTGCCCGGCTCGGTCTGCCCAGGTTTCTTCTGGGCCGAGACCTCAGACATTCACAACTTCTTAAGTCTTAGGCCTGTTCCTTTCGCCCTTCAGTCTGAGCATCTCCGTTTGGCCCAAATGGGGGCGGGACACTGAGGTTTCAGACTCGGGCCTGGCCTTGTCCACCTCAGAATGAAGAAACCCAGAAAGTGGCTGGACGGAGTGGCAAAGCGGGCTGTAGGGCCTCTGCAGACAGGACAGCCTCTGCCACCACCCAACCAGGTCGGGGCTCGGGTCATAATCCCCGGAGGCCTGGATCTTCCCCGCCAGGTACGGCTGACCCTCCTGTGTAGAAACCCAGAGCTGGGAACTCTGTGGCATGGTGTCCTTCTTCTGTGGTGTGTCCGGAGTACCTGTTAGGTATCCAGCCTTGTTGTTTGGAACTAGGGGTACAGTGGCAAATAAGACAGAACGAAATCCTTGCTCTTAAGGAATTTTCATCCTCAATGGACAGACAAGAAGTAACTATAACAAAGTCAATAATATAATTTTAGGTGATGGCAACTGCAATAATAGAGAAATGTGGCCTAAAAGGAGCCATCCTAGGAGGAGTGAGGGAATCCGAAGCAAGAAAGAGCTTGGTACGCTAGAGGGAAAATAGGACAGCCGGGTGACCTCGGCAATGTCACTCAAGGGGAGAGAGGAAGGATATGAGGACGGAGATGGTTAAGGTCTTGAAGATCAGGGACAGTAGTTGGGATTTTATTCTAAGTGTGATGGGAAGCAACTGAAAGACTTTAAACCAGAAGTTGATGTGATCTCAGTTGTTAAAGTAATCTTTGGGCTCCTCTGAGGTTTACGGATTACAGGGGACATGATGGAAGCAGAGGCACCAGTTAGAAAGCTAAAGGAGCTCGCCAAGAAAAAATATGTCACTGTTTGGTGGGGTTGATGATGGTGATTAGAAAGTATTTTAAAATTAAATGGGACAGACTTGGTAATGGAGTGGAGTGGTAAGGGGCTGGGAGGAAAAGAGGAATCAAAGAGGATTCCTAGATTTTTTAGCTCAAGCCACTGAGTACTGACTGCACCATTTGGTGGTACGGAAAAATGGGAAGAGAAGTAGATTTGCAAGCAGCTGAAACAAGAATTCCACTTTAGATGTGTTGATATCGAGATGGCTATTAAATATGGTCAGGGAGATGCCAGGACTGTAAATGCAAATTTTGGTGTTGTCAGCAAAACGTGGTGGTTATAAAGCCATTCCAGTGAGAGAGTTAGAGAAAGCCTGGAGATCTCCTACATTTGAGACCCAGCAAAGCAGTGAGGTCATCCAAAGAGACTCTAGAAATCACAGACAAGAGGGGTCAGGGGAAAGTCAGGGCACTCTACTTTAAGAAGTCCAGAGAAGCTCCTATGAAAAGAGGGACTGTTCAGTGCTGGCCACATAGCCCAGTTGGTTGGAGCCTCATCCCTGCACACCAAGGTTGTGGGTTCATCCCCAGTCAGGCCACATGCAGTAACTGACAGGTGAGTGCATGAACAGGGGGAACAAATACATGTTTCTCTCTCTCCCCACCCCCTTCCCCTCTCCCTAAAATCAATGAATAAGATAATAATAAATAAATAACAGAGGGACTGTTCACCTGCAGCAAATGTTCCTAAGAAACAGGCGAGTGCTTACTGAATTTCGGCAAGATGGAGCTCATTGGTGACTTTCTCAGAAGCAGTTACAGAGGAGATAGCAGCCGACTGGAGTGGGGGAAGGTGAACAGGCACTGCTGAGATGCAGACACTGAGACACTGTCTGTAAACAGCTCTTTCAAAGAAGTTTGGCTAAGAGTGAGGGCAGAGAAATGAGGTGGTAGTTACAAGAGAGATTAAGGGAGGCTGGTGGGGATCCGCCAGTAAAAAGAAACAAGTACTGAAGCAGAGAGAGGGCTTAGGCATCAGAGTGACATAAAACAAGTCCAGAAAGGACAGGACCCAAGATACAGATAGACGGCTGGGCCTTTGGTGAGCCCAGGGATGTTTGCTCTATCATAACACAACAGGTGGGATAACAATAGTCTTAAGTTATCTTGGAGTCTCCAGCCACTAGCAGGGGGTGGGGCTGAGAGCAGTCTCCTGAGAAACTGCGGCTCTGCTTGCATGGTCAGCACCTGCTCGGGCATCACCTCCTGGGCCCACGTCTGATTCCCACCTGATGCCGCTCACAGTGACCGCGCGCCCAGTGCGTCTCCCAGAGTCGAACCCAGAAAGTATGTGTGGGAGGAACTATATTTGATACGTGGAGCACATCACAGTTAACACCTTGTTCTTCTGTAGGATCAAACTACTTTCATAATTCAAACGATCATGAAATGCAATGAATAATTTTAATGGCCAGAATAGAAATGTAAAAGTGAAAATTTTCTTTTGCAAGTGTTTATAGGTGTGTTCATGCCAGTAAAATAAATGCATACAATTTACATATGGTAAAAAAAAAGGTACATATTTATTCTACTTTTGATTGAAGGAGCTGGGTACAAGATGAGGTGTAGCCACTTTTTAATCAGTCTAGCACAGCTCTGGGTTATTTTTCCCTTTGCTCCCTGCTCACCGCCTGCCTCACACTGGCTTTGTAAATCATTGTGCTCCCGCAATGAAAAATTCTATCGACTCCAAAACTGTGTTAACTTTGATCCTTTCATCATAGACTGACATAATGCTTTATGCAAATGATCCTCCAGTAACTGAAATGAATTTCAGTTTACCAAACTGCTAACTTGCACCGCTGATATAATATTTATTTTTCCCGGCTCATCTTTCACTTGAAAACATCTAATGATTTTTAAAGAATAACTTTCCATGTCAAAAATATGATTCAAATTCAGTAAAATATTTTATGTATGAACTAAACTCTGTACTTCGCCAAACAAAACCATTTTGCCTCTCATTTTGCGCTCCGTTTCATTGTTTTAAACTTGAACGCAAAACTTCAGGTGGTTACATTGAATGACAGGATTAAAATACATCAAATTCTGTTTCTCTGCCTTTATAATCACAAACTCTGAATCATAATTACTTATTTGGAAGCTCCTGTGCACACACGGTGGTAACTGATGCCACAGAGGTCGGAAACATGGCCCGTGCCGGAAGTGCACTCCCGCCCGAATAGCTGAGTGCTCGTGCTTCTGGGCGACCTCATACCTGGGCATTCTCCAGGTGAACGTCCATAGAGAGTACCATGTTTATTAGAAGGTGTATGATAAAAATATGCTCATAAAAGCTTACTTTTATAATTTTATGTGTTTTTTCTTTCTTTTTATTGGGATATAATTGACATATAACATTATTTTGGTTTTAGATACACCACATAGTGATTCGATATTTGTATACATGGTGCAAGCTTTGCACCGTGTACTCCCAGCTTTGTTTTCTGGGAGTTTGGGTAACATTGCATTTGTGTGAGCTCTTGTTAGTCTCTGTAAACCGACCAGAACAAATCTACTTTAATCTGAGTCTTCATAATCTACTTTGTCACACCCTTCGGAGGAAGGAAAAGATTCCACCCGCGCGCAATGAAATTTAAGGCTTTTCTCATTTGTAGGCTGACACTCGCCCAGAATTTGCAGCGTCAGTTTCACAACTTTGGTCCCGAGTCACAGTGGACGCAGAACCACAACGAACTCACGAGTCCAGATCTCCAAGGGCTCTTCTGCTCTCCAGCAGGCACAAGATGTTTTAAGTGATTTGGTTTCACCATCCACAATCAGACAGGCAAAAAGAACTAAGAAATCAGATTCCACATCACCTCCCACCCTCCAGCGAAATCCCATCGTCCACCCAGCAGACAGCCCTGGTGGTCACACCACAGCCCTACCGCTCCCCGTGGGGAGAACCCACCAGCCAGTACACATTGGCCTCTGGTGAACATAGACGGGCGTGTTGGTCTGCTCTCCCCTTGTAAAGGAGGACTGTCCACCTCCCGAGTAGGGCAAAACCCAGTTCTTCCCTATTACGTCTTTATTCCCTGTGTATCTCCTTTACTTTTACACAGAACGTCTTACTTCTCCCCCACCAAGCAATTCTCCAACACCAGCTGGGTGTCCTGCCATTTAACTCAGTTCTGACCCTATCAACCAGAGACAGCATCAGATTCCACAGATGGAGGGCTCAGCCTCACAAGACAGCCACCCGCCACCTCAGACTCCAAACTGCAAGGGCAGGTTGTCACCTGTGCTCTGACCTACCCGCTATAGACGGGAGGTTCCACCAACCCCCTCCTGGGGTCTGTGGCTCACAGAACTCAGTGAAACATTTTACTTGCTAGATTACCAGTTTATTATAAAAGGATATGGCTCAGGAACAGCCGGATGCAAAAGACTCATAGGGCAAGGGGCCAGAGACTCCACAGTCTCTCAAGTGTACCGCTCTCCCTGAATTTTCACATGTCCACTAGCCCGGGAGCTCTCTGAGCCCTGGCCCTCCCACTTTTCATGGAGGCTTCACTACATAGGTCTGATTGATTAGCTCATTGATCATTGGTGATTGATCCACCCTCCAGCCCCTCTCCTTTCTCTGGATGTCTGGGGGACGGGACTGAAAATTCCAACCTCCTAATCTTCTGGTTGGTTCTCTGGGCAACCGGCCTCTGTCCTTAGATGGAAGTCAAAATCACCTCATTAATACCACAGAAGACACCTTTCCCATCTTCTCACTTAGGAAATCCCAAGGGTTTTTGGAGCTCTGTGTCAGAAACCCAGATTTCCTACAAAGAATATAAAGACCAAATATGTATTTCTTACAGAAATCACAATATCACAGTAGGGA